AAAAGGTGGGACGAAAGTTTTCAAGTACGGGCAAAAGAGCCCCTGGGTACCGACTCTCACCGAACTATTTCCAAAAATTCAAGCGGATACCGGCTCCTGACTGGGCACAAAAAATGCTTTGTATTATTGTGCCCAATCGGCAAACAGTTTCTCCTGAGTTCTTTTCGTGAGTTCGTACTCGACGGCTATTGTCTCGCCACACTTGCCCGGTTCGTTCACCAAGCTTGTGCGTACAAGGGAAACTTTTATTTTCTACTTTCCTAAACAGAAACAAATGAACTACCAATGAGTTGAAAAAGCGTTTGGGTTTAATACTATCAGCAAGAGCAACTGAATTTGCCCCGAGAATATTCTGTTTTTGACGGATCACAATTAAGATGCAGGCGGCGGCGATGAGAAATTCAAATAAGTAATTACTTATTTGAATTTCTCATCTCATAGCTTGACAAGGCAAAACAACAACTTTGCATCTGCATCACTCTTTTTGTACATTTCTTTGCCGTCAACTGCACGACTACTCGTGAAAATGCCTAATTTCACGTTTTGTGAAGGACGTAAACAAGCAATAACAAATTTCATTCTCTTCATGAACTTTGATATGGTTCAGAAGAGTTCGCTTGCATTTGACAGTGTAAGCGAGTTGGATCAGACGGGAATTTTATATCAAACTGAAAGTTTCCTGACTCGGCGTGCATTTCTTTGGTGCATAAGCTAGACAAGCCGTGATCGAGGCAATAGCCGCCATTTACGAACACACGAAAAGAACTCATTGAGATGTGTTCGCCGATTGGGCACAATAATACAAAGCATTTTTTGTGCCCAATCAGGAGCCGGCATCCGCTTGAATTTTTGGAAATGGTCCGGTGAGAGTCGGTACCCAGGGGCTCTTTCGCCCGTAATGAAAACTTTCGTCCCGCCTTTTTTCCCGACCCGACTGACTGCCCCTGGGTCTCCGAGGATGCGCATAAATCAGACCCAATTACGATTTTTGCATTTTAATCAACATTCAATAACACTTTTGGGCATTCATATGCGTCATTCGGATCGGCATACAAAGAGAAAAATAGACTTTCATTAGCGCCAACATCAAAGTCATTAACACCATCTTGAAAGTCAATAGGAACAAAAAACAAATATTAAAGTGCAAACACTATTCATTATCATTTTTATGACACTGTTTGCCATTCAATACCATAGTTCCGGGGCAACCTTAGGATGGAAAAGACAGACATGAATGCGCTTGTACAATCAGTTGAGCGTTCTTTACATTTAGTACACAAAAATCGATTTTCAATTAAACAATAGAAATTCAAACAGGTCAAGAAAGGGACAACTGCCTCGCCGTCCTGATTGTCACTACATATCTCAAAGTTCCAGCCATCGTATAATTTAAGAAAACGCCATCTGATACATGTAGTTATTCCATCTTTTTGAACAAATACCATGAATCTTCAATAGCCTATTGAGGGAACATTCTATGGAACCATTTACCATGAGATTGCCGCAGAGCAGTATCCCTGGGTAGTTTTAATAAAAGCATTCACGTACACGAGTCGAATACAACTATACATATTGCCGGATTATAGTAACCTGTACCGTAAGACGTTTTAGATGTTTCTGATAGTTTCACTGTCGAATGTTCTGTGAAATTGTTTAGAAGAGTTAATTCCAAAGTATTTTAAGATGTTTTTATTGTTTAATTCTAGCGTTTTTAAACTTATATTAGTTGAAACATAAATGTAATTATATATCCTCTCTTTTGAACTAGTTACTCTTTTTATACACGACTCCTCAAGCTACCAAGCTTTAACCCTCATCGTGTTTAAATAAAGGTTTTGATTGATTGATGACTTACCGTTTTTCCAACAGTAACTTCTATTAAAACCAAACGTGCTAATGCTTGAACAACTTTCTTGAGCAGTACCATGGAAAAGTAACTTTTCATTGGCTCCATTCTTTTGTTCCATCTGCTCCTTTTTGACCACGTATGCCTTGTAAAGGCCAGGATTTTGCACTCTCTCGATCTTAGTGATCGTGATCGAAGCAGTTTTGCGTATTCCTTCTGCTATTTTGTTGTATTCGATCGGGTTGTTAGTAGGATCAAGCTCAACTAAATAAACGTCTTTTTCAGTGCCTGAACTATTCTTTGGTTGTACATACCAGTTAAGAGGTAGTGGAACACCTGTGTAAAACAAAAAATAAATAAAGGTAAAATAGAAGACAATAAAGTTATTCCAATATCACTTAATTTCAACGTATCCTTGCTAGGTGGTAACGCAGTTATTTTAGTTTTCGTTATGCATAGAAATAAAATCGAACTTAGTTCCCTAGCTGTGCTCGTAAAATTGAACTTAGTTCTCTTGCCATGCACGCATGCGTGCTAGCCTGTAATATTCATCAGATAAAGAGAACTTGAAGTAGGGTATCGACATCGTTTTTGCACCAATGATTGAGGGAGTTTAACAAGGACTGCAAGGAGAAGCTTCCCCTAGCTCCTTACAGGGTTCAATGAGTCAAATAAGAGATCTGCACGTGCATCACACCTTTTAGGACATTTTCCTTGGCGACCAACTTCGTAATTCGTCGTAATGGGGGACGGCAACACACGATCACGAAATTTTCTTTCTCTTTCTCAACTTGGATAAAGTCCTTAAGAACTTAACTTGGATTTATATAGCACTGTTCTCCCTTGCTCTGTAAAATCATTAGCTTTATCGTTTAGCGCCAAGCACAGTCTTTATCGGTACACCTTGAGTTTGTTGATCCGTCCAAGTATCGACTGTTGTTTATGGGACGAAGTCTGTCTATAAGAAGGATATTTAACTTCTCCCTCATAAAATGTATTTCAAAAATTGTAAAGTATTTTTTTCAGTAAAATGTAAAAAACTTCCAAAAATAAGCATTTAGATACATCGCAACAATGCGATGATTTTTGCGTGAAGCTCGACAAGGCTAGATGTTTTTCCTCGCTTTTTTATGGACTAAATATTAACACTGTTCTTTCGTTTGTTTGTTTATTTAAAAAGTGCGCTTTTTTTGGTTTGCTGCTATTTCTTGAAGTTTTGTTCAAGCACTAAAATCACTGTCATTGAACTCAATCCTCAACTGTTCTGTCCGGGTAGTAATCAAGTGAACTAATTACCTTTTCCGATCTCCTTCCTTTTCACATTCCTCTCTTCTCCATCTTCCATACAAGTTTCCTTCATGTCTTTGAAAACAATCTCACACCTGGCACCATCAATGATTAAACGCACCGATTTTTGACCATCCTTATGTGCGGTCTCTATCTGAAAGTTTTCCTTTGGGTCATATGGCTGCCAATCCTCCTCATCGTCTTCTTGATAGTACCATTGCGTGTTTTTGCACAGGAGTTCTCCGATTCCTCTACTGTGCTCTTCCTCTATGTACTCAGTCAAAATTTTTAGGATAGATGTGGCCACATCTAGCACGTCTTCTGCGTCGCCTCTTACGGATATGCGACCGATGTAATCTTCTATCATGATACTGACGTCGTGTGTAACTTGCAGGTTATGTATTTTACTTTTCTGTTCCTCGGAAAGGTGGCTAATGGCATCGTCTTTAATCACTCTCTTAGTGCAGTTATCAGCCAAATCTCTCTGTATTTCTTCTTCAGCTTTTTTGATGTCTTGCTTGGTTCCGGCAAATATTTGTAAGTAGCTGCCAACTTCTTGACCTCCCCTCTTTACTGACAAAGGGGAGCCACTTTTTCCAAATCCAAACAGATCAGCAATCCTGGACAAAATACCTTGCCCTCCCTCCGTCGAAGAGACAAATGATTGCATTGCACTGCGAAAATCGTGAAACATGTGTCTTTGATAGACGACGATTCGTATGAGATGGAGTGAGTTTGGCTGTCCCCGAGCAAATTTGGCAATTGCAGCTAACATCTCTTTGGCTGCTTCTTTTACGCCTACTTGGACATTTTCAGTTCCGATTGCTGGAAAAGATGTGGAGGTCATCCCGTGAACATCGGCTGTTTTTAGACACTTCAAGAAGCAATCTTTAATAGAAGCCATCGTCAGTTCTTCTGGCACCATGTGGTAAATCTTCCTCACTTTTAATTTGCCTGCCCCGGTAACTGCGACTGAACCTGGTGGTTGGGTACCCAGAGAAGAGCATTCTGCTTGAATTTCTTTTCCTCCAACAGAAATAATTGCCTTACCGACACCTCCTCCATATGCAACATCTAATTCTTTATTTGATAATGTGCCGATTGCATCTGTTACCTCTTTGGTGAGGTCACCAGTCTCAACTTGAACAGTGACACTACCCATTTCGACTTCAGGTTTGAATAAATCTAATTCTTCTGGGACTATGTAAAAGCGGTCATCTTCACTAGGTGATTCATCAGGGTGAGACTTTTTTGCAGCCGATCCACGCGACTTTTTGGGTTTCTTCTTTTCATTTACTGCTGTTGCCGGTGTCACTGTGTGGGAGGAGTTTCCTTTACGACTTTGTAGCTCAGTTTGGAAGGCTTGAACTGTGGGCAAGTCTTGGTCATAAACTACCAAATGGACCTCTTTCACGCAGCTGCTTGGATTGTTTCTACTAAATGTCAGTACCTCGTCAAAGGAAATAGTAGCAACTCGATCGCGAGGAAACTGAAGGTTTCCAGTTCCAATGGCAGGTATGGAAATACTTAGAAGATTTAGTTTCTGTGCTTCCATCAAGCTCTTCTGTAGGATATCGCGCAAAACCTGAAATAACAGATGGTAAAGCGTTACTATACCGGATAGACTGTTTGTGTTGGTAGTTGTCCCATTACACACAAAAAAAATGGCGTCTGGATAGCAGCTCTGGATTAAAAGACGCGTATTTTGCTTTTGAGACAACAGACTCCTCCCTCTCCCACCGTGAATCCTTGTTGTAAAATGTTTGTAACAATATATTTTTATTTATTCATACACGTGCATCTTTGTTTGGATGGTTATAGACTGAGTTTCTCTCAAAACAAAGATCTTGGCGAAAAATTTATAGCAAGTCATGGTACATTGTAAAAAGGAATTGGGACATTACATAAAACGAAATCTGGTATTATGAATGTGTTTTAGAGAAAAAAGTAAATTACTGTACCTTTTCACCCTTTCCATTTTCCCACCCAGCACACGAAGAGTGGAATACATGCTTGCATCCCAGATTTCCTCCTCTGGTCACCACAATATTTCCAGTTTCTACTTTACCAATTGCCGTACATTCCTGCTGAAGCGTAGGACCAGCTGCGTCACACAGAGCTTTCGCACTTGCGTTTCTACTGAGATCTAGGTCTGAGGAGGTAGAGTTTACAATGGCGTCAACCTGTGAAAGGAGCAATAAAACATCATACTCAATCGTGATTTAGTTAAATTGTGTAAAGTTATTGTCAACTAATTTATGAAGAGGTTACGACGAAGAAAGTAAAAAGTATAACAGGCAGCGTGAAAACACTTGGGGCGTGTTAAAATGCAACCTGGATAAAAAGCAAGTCTACAATCTAGCTATCTGGGAATAAGCAACTGCAGTAAAATAGTAATTTGCTCTTAAAATTGGGTATTTTTTCTTTAAACATTTTTCATGAAAAGAAGATAAGAAATCACGACGCATATCGGATACTTGAATCATCATACAGTGTTGCGGATAATATTATGGATCATTTGGAATGAGGTGCTATGTCAAAGACTCTCAAGGGTGAGTTGTCCAATATCCAGACACCTCTGAAGTTGGTGGTACGGAAAGTTTCGTCATTTTCTCGTTTTTTCGATCCTCTTTTATGTCTTAGGTTATCGGATGAAACACTTGTTCTACGGCGTAAAAAGTAGCAACTTATATTTTGCAGTACTTGTTAAAAGCGATATCTAGTTGTCTGTTCACTGGTGATTATTGAGTACCAACTTTAAGTTAAGCTGAATGTTTATTATACGTTCAAAAGATCTCTGTTTTAAAAATTACTTCTAGGTCTACAAGTACTCCTTTCATTTTTCCCCTTAAGCAGTCTAACTTTGCCCATAAACCCTTAGGAACTCTTTACAAAGAGGAGCTGTGAATTTTACGGATCGGATGCTGTTTAAATAAAGTAGGGTGCAATGACTCACCTCTTCACGAGTCATGTCACCAGGCACAACAACCACTTTTAAACCTTCTGCTGACATCATCTCATTTGATTGAGTTTTTTGAGGGCTTATATCAGAGACAGCTAGTGGCGTTGAAGGAGCTGCCTTTTTCTCTTTCCTTCTTTTGCGTTTTACTTTGCCGCTTACTTCTGATGCTACTTTCCCTTTCGAAGAATGTTCAAAATTGGGATCTTCCCCAAACCTAGTTGTCATCTCGGTGACAAAAGCTTTGACAACTGCATCGTCATTGCTGGTAAACTGAATCTCGGACAACTGGCAGCCTGGATTTTCTGCAAAAAACGCCAGTGTTGCGTCGACCATAATGTTTGCGCACAGGTCACGAGGAAATTCATAGGCTCCTGTGCTTATAGCAGGGAGGGCTATTGATCTGAAGTGTTTTGCAGCATCCAAGGCATTACTCACTGCATAGCGAAGGAACATTTCCTCATTTGGAGTCTTTCCCATTGACTTTTGTCGCGCTGCTTCCTTTCTCCAAAATGGCCCCACTGCATGAATGACTTTCTTGAAAGGCAACTTTCCAGCAGTCGTAGTGACAACGTGACCTTCCAAAATGGAACCTTGTTCGACGATTAAACTGTCACATTCTTCCTGGATGGCTTCTCCACCAGCATCAAGTATAGCTTTTGCGACACCAGTCGAGATGTTTTCCAGATTTTTGTCGGCTGAATTAACAATAACATCCACGTTACGATCGCAGATGTTGTCCTTGAACACCTTGATGCTTTTACCCCCTTGCGTAAGGAAGCTGCACTCGTAATCCACGTTTAATTTCTTTGCGTTTCTCCTCTCTTCTCTGTTAACGCTACTTGACGAGATGTCTTTCTCGGAATCAAAATACTCAATCACACACTTGTTTTCACTTTCCAGTAAGGCCAACATTTTCTTTCCTTTAATGCGATTGAGGTCTTTTCGCATTCCAGGTTTGTTAACAGGAATCTTCTTTTGTTCAACAGTTGAAGCCAGATCTTGGATCATTTTCATTCCCCTTTCAACTCCATCTCTTGGTCCAGTAACTATGAAACCATCTTCGTCACATTCAGCTATCCCCTTAAAGACCGTAGAACTCTTGTTTAATTCTTCCTGTATCTGGCGAAGCTTCTGTTCCCGGTGCTTCGCCAGAAACCGCCTACAGCCTATGGGAAGTTCCAAAACCTTGCTGATAATTGTGTTCTCGTTCAGGAAACGTCTGACACTTTTTAGTGCAATTGAAACATCCTCTCTTTTGCCCGCAAGTTGCAACTTCTTGCTGCTTCTATCAAACATGATGCTGACAATCGAATTTTCACTGAGCTCATCCCTAAACCTGCGCCATTTTTCACTTTTTTCCACCTGAACCTGATCATCTTCTAAGACAACGCTTTCTTCGGCAATCATTGCTTTCACTAAGCGTGACGCCTTTTGAGCTAGCTCAGAACTCATCCCCATGACGGCTGCGGTGTTTGTGGACGTTTCTCCCTCTTCAACATCAAAGGTTACAAGGGCTTGCAACTTGTTGGCTTGAAATCGCTCTTTCATGAATGACTGACAAGCTCTCCCTTTAAGCACTTCAATTGCATTCTGAGACATTCCGAGGGTTAATATCTTCACCCTAGAAATTGCTTGCCAAATATCCGCTCTTACCTTTTCAGCTACAAGAGAAGGTCCTCGAATATGAACTTCACATTTGTCAACAAAAATGTCCACGTTTGTGTTTTCATATTTGCCTTCGAGTTTTTTGTGAAAGTCGTAGTCACGCAAGAACTCTAGGCGTTGTCGCGGAACTTCTTCAACGGTGATTGTTATTTTAGATGCTTCCAGTGCTAATTGTTTCCGTACCTCGATCTCCAGATCACTCAATTCGTCCCTTAATTCATCTACATCTTTCCTCTTCCCGGCTAAAAGAATTTTGCACTGCTCATCGAGGTACTCCACGTTCATGCTGTCGTTCAAGGAGCTTTTATTTTGCTTGAGATGCTCCACAACAGCCTGCCAGGCTTCTGGGGTGACATGCATGGTGTATGTCTGAAACGCAGCGACAAAAAATTCAATTTCTTTGCACGCATCTTTAAATTCATCTTCAGAAGTTTCGGTTCCCAAATTGTAGACAGTTATATTGTTGGACCCATCTTCCCAGCGTACCTTGACGCCATGTTTATCTTGGAGTCGGGCAAAATCAGTGTTATGACGGTCAAAAACAAACTGCATGACTTGGCCTTCCACCTGGATTTGTTTATCAAGCTCAATAACATCAGGTAGAGAGGCTGGTTCGCCAAGGACAGGGTTGTGGTGCTTAACTTCCAGCCGCGCTCCATCGAGTGTATGCTCCTTGGCCATGACACCATTAACAACTGCAATAAAACAAGAAACAAAAAAACGCTTTATTTCGATTTCCCGCAGGCAGCAAATCAAGTGGTAACAGGCTACGAAAGACATCTTTGCTCTGACGTTACATACCCTCTGGGTTCTCGAAGTAAACTAAAGCCCAGGCGTCCTTTATATTCAGTTTTACGCTTCTGACCTCACCGCCACCGCTCTTGGGATTTTCAAAATAGTAACGAAGGGCATCCTCGGTTGTCTTTGCCCTGTTGAACCCTGTTACTTGCACGCAGTGACAAACAGGCACTTGCTCTACTGCCAGCATATTGCCATCAAGAGGCTTCTTTGCAACTTTCTGAGTAATAGTATCGTAGCCTGTAAGTGTAAAAAATACCATCGGCTAAATATGTGACCAGATTTCCCCTTACCGCATGGCACAGTTCTAATATTTGCGATTTTCCCGGCGATCCGCAAAAATAAGCTCCCGCCAAGGAAAAAATTACCACAAACATTTTTTCCGCAAAAATTTACTCCAAATATATATTCTCTTACTTAAATTCTTAAAAATATAGTATTAAGAATTCGTGTGTCTTCAATGACAACCTGTCTCAAGATTTCGACTCGTTCTTTCAGTCACTGATAATGTTATTGCAATCGAATGACAAAAAAAAGTAATCTGTTTACTGGTTTTACATAGGGTACGCACACCGTAGTATTGCTTTTACATAGGGTACGTTCACCGTAGTATTGTCTGAAAATATGTATTTCTATTGCACGTACTCGATAAAAATGAAAATATTATCAATGATTTGTCCGGGACTTTCTGCAAATCGCAAAAAATATTTTTCCAGCAAGAAAAACCACTGTCCCAATCGCAAATTAATTTGCGCAAAACACAAAAAATCAACTATCCGCAAAAACAAACTCCCGCAAAAATTTCGTGCCACACGGTATTTAATGCTGAAAGAATGAAACATGGTAAATTTTAAGCTCGGTGAACAAATGTGAAGGTGAAAAATAATCAGCAGGCCACGAGCAGGGGAAAAATAAAAAATCCGAGTCCCCGACAGGATTCGAACCTATGACCTCCCCAATATCGGGCAGGCGCTGTATCCACTGAGCTACGGAGAACTCGTACAGAGCAAGGCCATATACTAGGTTCATATTTGATACCCGTCATGCATACTGCTAGGGTCAGCAATGTCGAGATCGTACTGTATGGTGAAAGAATGAAAGATGACGTTGCTGATCCTAGCACTGAGTATGCAGGACGCGAGTCAAATATGAACCTAGTATATGGCCTCGCTCCATGAGTTCTCCGTTGAGAGTAATAGGTTTGAATCCCGTCGGGGACTCAGACTTTTTCTTTTCCCACCTACGTTCGTGACATGCTGATTATTTTCCTCTTCACACGGTATTTAATGTTAGGATGACTGTTCTTGCGCTGTCTCTTTCATTGTACCGCGAGTAGATATTTTGAATAAGCCTTGTAATCTGTGCAAAGTGCTTAGGCTTCTTGAAGTAGATGTTTCACTACATGTTCACTAACTCTTCAAACTTCTTAATAACTGCGAGTG